CCCAGCCCCAAATCCCTCCCAGCAACCTAAACCCAACTACCCTAGCAAAGAACTTCACCATCGATCGAGACCTTTCCGCTGCCCTCCCTCATTCAGGGTTAGTCGGCAAACTGTCGAAGCTTCAAAACCATTCCTTCATTTTGTCTGTGCAATCGAAGTTTTAGATCTAGACCCGTTCCTTGTTGCTTCAAACCATTTCGACCGCAGCCTTGTTGCTCCGCGGCTACCTCTGACCGCCGCCTCACCTCCGGCCTCTGGGATCTCCAAAAATTTCAAATAAATCTGAAAAAAAAGAAAGTTTCATAGATCTAAAAAAGGGAAGAAGATGGTGAGCAAGGTGGATGAAAAGATCGGAGCATTTGCAGTGCGAAAATGAAGCATATAATGACTGTAAGAAGAAAAAAAAGAAGAAGAAGAATGAAAGAAGAAGAAGAAAAAAGAAAGAAATGAAAACATGGGTCGGCAAAAAAAAGAGAAGAAGAAGGAAGGGGGAGTTGGGAAGTAGAAAAGAGAGGAAGATGAGGGAAACGAGGGATAGAGAATAAAAGAGAGGAGAAAAAGAAAAAGAGAACCTCCCCAAAATACCCCTACACATAACCCCACGTCCGCAACCAATCAACCCAGCCCCAAATCCCTCCCAGCAACCTAAACCCAACTACCCTAGCAAAGAACTTCACCATCGATCGAGACCTTTCCGCTGCCCTCCCTCATTCAGGGTTAGTCGGCAAACTGTTGAAGCTTCAAAACCATTCCTTCATTTTGTCTGTGCAATCAAAGTTTTAGATCTAGACTCGTTCCTTGTTGCTTCAAACCATTTCGACCGCAACCTTGTTGCTCCGCGGCTACCTCTGACCGCCGCCTCACCTCCGGCCTCTGGGATCTCCAAAAATTTCAAATAAATCTGAAAAAAAAGAAAGTTTCATAGATCTAAAAAAGGGAAGAAGATGGTGAGCAAGGTGGATGAAAAGATCGGAGCATTTGCAGTGCGAAAATGAAGCATATAATGACTTTAAGAAGAAAAGAAAGAAGAAGAAGAATGAAAGAAGAAGAAGAAAAAAGAAAGAAATGAAAACATGGGTCGGCAAAAAAAAAGAGAAGAAGAAGGAAGGGGGAGTTGGGAAGTAGAAAAGAGAGGAAGATGAGGGAAACAAGGGATAGAGAATAAAAGAGAGGAGAAAAAGAAAAAGAGAAAATATGAAGTGAGGAGATGGGTACTCGAGTCATTTTAGTTAAGAAAAGTTACCAAAAAAGGAAATAGAAACTTTATTTGTGGACGGACCGAAGAGGAAAGTAGAAACGTTAAAAATGGACGGAGGGAGTATTTTATTTTATTCTGATATATATGGTCAACTTAGAGACTAGGTTATTGGCACACTTGTGTTTTACATACATTCAGGTGTTGGTAGGGGCATGAACGGAGTTGGTATTTTTGTGGTGCCAAAACTGTGGGAATTTGTGGTGGAGGTGAGGAGGATTAGTGATCGGTTGATGGCCATTAAGTTAATGTTGGGTGGCTTTGCTATCAATGTTGCAAGTGCCTATTCTCCTCATGTTGTTTTGGACAACAGGTTGACAACAGCAAGATACAGTTTTAGGAGACGCTTGATTAGGTGATGGGCAGTATCTGCAGGTAAAGAAAGCTTTTATTCGGGGAAACTTTAATGGCCATATTGGGGATTCGGTAGATGGTTTTGAGGAAGTACATTGTAGGATTGGATTTGGTGATAAGAACGCAGAAGGGGTTTCACTTTTGCATTTTGCTGGAGCAAGTGATTAGGAGGATCACTTGGTTATCTTTGTTAGCAGACTGGGGAGGACACAAATCGATTACTTCCTTCTGTGTATGTGTGACCAGGTGCTTTGTAAGGACACTAAGTAATCCCGAGTGAGGACCTTACTACCAAACACATGTTACTGGTGATGAATGTTAGCATCAGGTGGGTTAAGAAGAGGTGAATTGCCGGTGGTTGTCCGCAAATCCGCTGGGGGTGTTTAGGTGGGGAGAAGATTCCTGAGTTAGCTGCAAGAGTTCAGGAGAAAGGTGAGTGGGAATCCTCGGGAGAGGCAAACGACATGTGGTGAAAGATAGATAAATGCATCCGAGAAGCTGCCAGAAAAGTGCTAGGCATGAACTACGGTGCTGGAGGTCGGCATAAAGGTTATTGGTGGTGGAGTGATGTGGTCAGAAGTAAAGTAGAAGCTTAGAAGATTTTGTATAGGAGGTTTATGGACTGTAGTGATGAACAAGAATAGGCGTCTCTTAAATTGGAGTACAAGGTTGCCCGCATGGAAGCAAAGTTAGAGGTTACAAGGGAAAAGAATGCTGCTTTTGAACACCTGTATAAGGACATTGAGGAGCGAGGTGGTGATAAAAGGCTTTTCCGGCTAGCTAAAATGCGTGAGAGGAAGGTTAGGGATCTGGAACACGTGAGATGCATGAAGGATATCAATGGTAGAGTTGTATTTGATGCGAGAGAGGTTTCCAACTGGTGGGGAGAGTACTTCTATGGCATTTTGAATTCAAGCGGGGAACTGAGACTTGGGTTAGGCAAGGCGGGGCAATCTGAGAGGCGTCAAAACTTTAGTTTTTGTTAGTGCAATAATCAAGATGAGGTGGCACGGGCCATTTGTGGGATGAGAAGGGGGAGATAATTGGGGCAGGATTATATTCCGGCGGAGTTTTAGAAGTACGTGGATATGAGTGAGTTGGTTTGGGTGACGAGGCTCTTCAATGTTATTTTCAAGACGACTAAGATGCCAGATGAGTGGAGGGAGAGTGTGATGGTCTCACTGTACAAGGGTAAATGCGATATCCAGTGTTGTGACAATTATAGAGGTATCATGCTACAGAAGGGGGTGTGCATTCTCGAGAATAAGTTTGGTTTCATGCTTTGTCGGTTGACCATGGAGGCCATTCACCTATTGCAGCTTTATTAGTATTTCAGTATTTCTATAGTAAAATGGGAGTTAAGGATTAATGTTGGGCTTTGGGCTATTTTAGTTTTTGTCAGAGGTGTGTTTTGGGCTAGAAATGTGGTTATGTGTTTGAGGTTTTAGGAGTAGTGAATTCTACCTAAAATGGATCATAACATTTGATCATAAGCCCTTTTATTTCCTTGGCCTCTTGTGGCGTGGGTGATGACTTGGTAGAGTCATCCTGGGGTATATCACATTACCTGTGTGTACTGTTTTTGGTAGTTTCTTTTTAGGTATATTCCATCTCTGTTCAGTCGCTATAGTCGCCAATGATGAAACTATGCTAGTATGCTGTTATTTTTCAAATTTGTATTGAAACTTTCGTATTTTGAAGTTTTGAATATGGAGGATAAATAAAGGTCCCCCAAATTCTATCAAGATAAGTGTGCAGTAATTGGTATCTCCCAAGGACTAAGGAATGAAAATTGAAAATTCATTTACCAAGGTTCTCCTTTGTTTCCTTGGATATATATTCTAAGACACATATTCTCGCTAATATCAAAATTTTGAATATAGTGCTTGTTTTGGCCTACGTAATCAGCTAAGGCTACACTAGTACTCACAAAGGTTAAAGTATTGTTTTGACATTATATTTCAAGAAAAACCAGGAATGGTAAAATGAACTTTTACCTGGTTTAGCAATCATGTTTTCATGTTCCTATAGTAAGAAAAATTGTCCCTGAAGTGCGTGATAGCTTGTTGGTATTCATGAAATATCTCATCCGTGTAATATTTATTTCTCATGTTGTTATTGCATCTATACGGTCCTCATTTATGCTTTCATAATCTCTTTTTTTCTAATTGCAACCATAGTTGCATGTAGGCAGTTAGCAACCATAGTTCCTGTGGGATTTTTTAGTTTACTTTTTCAAGGCAATGTTGTATACGAAGTACAAACATTAGATAACATTCTATTTGTTTGGAAGGGCACTGTAGTGGTTGCAGGCAGAGCAAGGGCTGTTGTTATTGGAGTTGGTTCAAATACTGCTATGGGAAGTATACGTGATTCAATGCTAAACACTGAAGAAGTGAGTATTTTACGTGATTATCTTAGGTGTACATAGAACTTGCTTTTCTTAGATAAGATAAACTTATATTGTTAGTTTTTTGTCTTATGGGTGTAGGAAGTGACACCATTGAAGAAGAAGTTGGATGAATTTGGAACTTTCCTTGCTAAGGTGATTATGGTTATTATAAATTTTCAATTGAAGTTGGTATGTAAAAATATTAAAAGCCCTATATCCCTGATACTGTTAGCTGCTAGTTACTGGCCTGGAATAGTTTGTTAGCCCTAAATTAGTTGTTTAGTTAGCCTTCTAGGATGAGCGGTCATACGCGTATGGATAGAATAAGGAATGAAGATTTGAGAGCTAAAGTTGGTGGCGCCTATTGTAGAAAAGTTGGTGGAAACTCGTCTTAAGTGGTTTGGACATGTGGCGAGAAGATCAAAAGAGCATCCTGTGAGAAGGGTTGATCAAATGGTATATAGGCATTTGGCTAGAGTAAGAGGTAGACCTAAGAGCACTTGGCAAGCATTGATCAAGAGAGACCTTCGCGTGAACAATCTCAAAGCAGATATGATACATGATAGGGTGCAATGGCGTCGTTTGATCCATGTAGCCGACCCCACCTAGTGGGATAAGGCTTTGTTGTTTTTGTAGTTAGCCTTCAAGGATTCCTACCCGCTTGGGGAGTCTTACCTATGGCTATAAATACCTACCTAAAGTCATTGTATAATTTTGTTTTTCCTTGGATATTATTCAGATCACGTAGTTTCTTTTTCTATCTCAAATTGCTGTGAACTTCTACATCTCTTGTTCTCTCCCTACTCTTTTCTTGTTTTTAAGAATTTCACTCAATATTTAAAAGGCCTATAAGTGGTATTAGAGCCTATCATCCTTGTCTAGGGTTTTGCTTTTACTGCTCTCTTGAAAGATGAATGAATCGGAGTTGAAGAACAATTAAGAAATGGTGGTATAAAATATGCATGCCCTGAAAGAGAGGTGTCGCATGGTGGGATATCTGTAGGACACTGTGTAAGGTTCATGAAGAATTGCAGATTGTGAGAAGGGACTCTAGCGCAAAGTTGTCACGGTGTCTTCTAGGCTAGGACAAGGCATCCTGGCGGCATAGAGTTCACGCCATCGAACTTTGCCTAGCCATATTTCACCTGATCAAGTTAGTCGTCGCCTTAGGGACGCCTGGGCGTCCAGCCGGTCGCCAAAAGTTATCTAGCGACTCAGAAAGGAGATCGACGTGAAATTCCAAAACCCTAACCTATGGCATCCGGATTTTAGATATGAAAATCCCAGCATATTTCCACCATTGCGATGTAGATCCGCCAGCTCTGCCCCCAGAGGAAAGTAGATATGCCACCATGGCTTTCGTTCACCATCGCTGCCGTCAACACCTGCATTTATGGTTTGTGGTTTCTTCGTTTCAGTGATTTGGAATTCATTTTGTTCTGTTGTTTCTTCTCCACAATTATCTTTTTTGTTTTCCTATTACGGGGTTGGAATTCATTTCGTTCTTTTGTTTCTTCTCTGGAGTTCTGTACCATTCATTGGCCAATGAATGAAATCGTCTCTGTGAGAGAGGGAGAGGGAGGCCAATGAATGGGTAACTTCTCTCTGTGAGAGAGGGAGAGGGAGATCAACCTCAATGAAGCAATCCATGATCTCGTAGAAGGCTAGAGTCTGGGCAACTGCAAGTGTTTCATCATGAAGGGCATCCGTTTGGGTGAGAGGAAAGGATATGGCATGAATGAAGTGTCCATGGTGGTTTCTCAAGATGCCCCCCCCCCGAACAGCCATACGGGGTTTCTCTTAAATCAATATTGATCTTTATTTGCCATGCGGGGTGGGGGGGGGGGTGATCCACTTAGTCATACAAATGGGTCCTGGGTGTTGGAAACCTTTAACGTTTATCCTTTTAGCTATAGCCCAGCATTTCAGCTCAGCATGGATCTGGGCAATGATATTGGACCAATTGAATTTTTTGTCTCAGCATATGATGTCATTGTAGTTTCTCCAGAGAGACCAGAACACTAATTTGGGGGTGTCATATTCTAGTTTGGAGATAGAGCAGTTGCCACGGCCTGACAACCACCAAAGTAAGAGGTTAGAGTTAATGTTACTATCGCTAATCAGTGGCCCATTGAGGAGGCATCCAAAATGATTCCAGATAGCGCTGGCTTCTGGGCAGAGCATGAGAGTGTGGTCTTGAGAATTGAAGGTTCATTCCGATTACAGAAAGGGCAGATGGAGGGCATGTGGAAATTGAGTTTCCAGAGGTTTTCAGGGAATGGAAGGTTCTGCCGGGAGATTCTCCAGAGCAGCATGTTCATTTTAGTAGGGTGAAGTTTCTCCCAAATGTAGAAGGCCGTAGCTAGCGAAGGGCCCTCTTTTCTTACTAAGTTATAGGCAGAGTCAAGGCTTAAGCTCCATTTTCTCCAGGTTCCCAAACGAAGGATCCCTGATCAAAGTTGCAATGGAGAGAGCAAAGGTTATCAATCTTGCAGATCTGTTTCCAGGGTTGGGAGTCTGTAAGAACCAATTTCTATCTTCCTTTTCTATGATACGTCTGACGCATATAGGAGGACCAGGGAGCCTGCAGTTGAGGGCCCTTTTTCTGAATCAGATTTGACAGCTTGTCCAATGGCATCTTTAGGTTTTGGAAGCAACCCCTTGTTTTGGGATTTATCTCTGCAAACTGCAGCGGAATGGCCAGATTTTCTGCATGTGGTACAGAACTCCGGCAACTGTTCGTAGATGATGGGTTGCCAGAAGCGTAGGCTTCCATTGTTGATGAAGATTTTAGGAGGGAGCTCCTTGCTAACATCAAGCTGTACACAGAAGCGAGCTACGGATGGACGGATTCTTGCAGAAGTCGAGGAGTCCAGCATTAAAGGACGTTCAAAAATGTTGGCGATGGAGAGGAGGGCACTTGGAATATGCAGATGGACCGGGAGTTATTCCAGAGAGAGCCAAACTGGAAAAATTGGGTTCTCTTTATCACAACGGAAGTTTGAGGACCATTTGAAGACTTGCATGGAGGAACCCTGAATACTCCACAAACGTTTAACAAAACATCTCTTGTAGTCCTCCGCATCAGTGGAATCGTCCTATCAGAGCAAATTCAAAAGGGGCAGAGAGAAGTTTCACCTCCTCAGAGGAGAAGGTGATAGATGGAAACCCCCTATGCCTATCAATGGTCTTAGGGGGGAGCTGGGGGGATACATGTGAAGAACCTTGAGTAAGAACATCTGTGGATGAGCGTTTCACATTATGGCAAGGTTTGGGAGGAGCTGTAGTAGAGTAGGGGGGAAGATGATGATGTCCAGAGGATTAGGAGCTGGGACAGAAAAGTGGCCGGAAGTTCATCGGTGCACTGGACATGAGAGAAGGGAAGGTTGATGCGGCGGTGGAGGCGGGGGAGGGAATGAAGAGAGAGAGGCCATTTCATTATACATATACATATACATATATATATATATATATATATATATATATATATATATATATATATATGTTTTCACCTTCTTGGTCCCTGGTTTTTCTCCTCTATGTTTTTTTTGGGTTTGGAGAATGATCAGCAGATTCTTTGCTGTTTATTAGTTATTGAAAGTTTTAAGTCTTGGGGTTTTGAGAATGATCAGCAGATTGTTTGATAGCAATACTGTGGGATGCTTATGAAAATCAAACTCTTTGGGATGCTGTGCTAAAGGTTCAAATGTGTTCAATTAGATCATTTTGAGGATAGAGATCAGGATATACTTTGAGTTTATCGGGCCATTAATCTCAACTGGAAGATTCAGTTGCAGGGATTCCAATAGAAAGACAACAAACTTTGATGCCAGCAAGGCAAGCGGATGTTCATTAGCTGGCTGCTGGAGTCTTTTTACTTTAGCTCGTTGTTGTTTTTCTTATTTTGTTCTTTACTTCTATTGGCTGTTTGGTTTTGTTTGGGTCCTCTTGTTTGGGGTTTTGGACCACCCCCACTTGGCTGTACTTTCCCTTTTTTGTTTAATAAAATCTTTTTCCAATACACACACACACACACACACACACACACACACATATATGTATGTATGTATATTAGTGCGAGAAATCTTCAGGGGAGAAGGTGATAGATCAAAGGTATCCTACCACGGATCACACTTCATCAAATCTGGAAGGAGAGAAATCTTCGTCTAAATGAAAACACTGCGAAGGAAAAGCCCAAATTAATTCAGGACTGTATAGGGCAGTTACAATCCTGGGTTTTAGGGAGAGCACCTAGCAAGCTTATGAGGTATGGCGCCTGGCATCTTCTATCTTCCCACAGAGCTCTCTCCCATTCAGATCGGCACACATAAGATCAAAATCCATCGTTGGAAGCTAGCACCAGAAGACTGTCTACATCTTTCAACAGATGTAGCATTCACGAACTTAAAGATGATAGGGGGAGCTATCCTATGCAGCGGTCATGGAAACTTTATGGCAGCCAGCACATGGAGCATCAACACAAGCAATATTCTAGAAGGAGAAGCATGGGCATTACTTCTTGGACTAAATTGGGCCAAATGCTTCTCCAACAAGATTTGGGCCCACACAGACTCGGAGACGATCACAAAAGCAATGCATGGAAATAAAAACCCGGGAGTTAATCGAGGGGTATGGACAGGTGTTCAACGAGCAATCCAAGAAGATGGAAACAATCTGCGTCACATTTACAGAGAAGGAAATATGGGAGCACATAATCTAGCCAAATGGGCTAGCAAGAAAAATTTCTTTTCTCAATGTATTTCACTTTCATGTATTCCCCCTTCTGTTAAGGGAGCCATTATGGCAGATGTAACCCTTCCCTTTCTGCGTTATTAAATCAATAAAAATATTCTCTTAATATATATATATATATATATATATACTCCCTCCGTCCAAGATTAAAGTTCTCACTTTGACTTGGCACGGAGTTTAATAAAACAGAAAATTTACTTTGACTTTCCTAAAATACCCTTCATTCCTATCCCTTCTCCTCTTTTCGATCTTGTCCACCCATTTTCTTCCGTCTCTGCAATCGGATGCCCCCCACCCCAAATAAGGCCAAATCTCCTTGCCGCTCTGCCATTATTACCGACGGCCGTCACCTATTCCGATCCAATCGGCGCCTCACTGCTCGCCGTCACCTATGCCTACTCATTCAATCGGCGTCTGTACTCAGCCACCACTGCCGATTTCTTTGTTAACGCTGACCTCGGATCTGAATCGAAATTCTCAGATCTAATGGAGATGGACAAGAAAGAAGAAGAGTTGAAGATGGACTGGGCATTGGACCGGGAATTGAAGAAGAAGAAGAAGAGGAGATCGGACCGCCCTTTTACCTCTGACCACTACCACCGCCTCGTTGCCTCACCTTTACTC